TACACTCTACACCTCTCCTATGAAAACAACCCTAAGGTTTCCACATCGTTAGGCTTAAATTTTATTTCGGCAAAAAATTGTCAAAATACTCTCTCGCTACGGTCATAACAGCGTATGTTTCATCGAACCACTCGAGACTCGACTCATCTATATTTTACGAAAATAATCACTCCATATTAAGCGACGACTACAAGCTGTCGTAATTTGCGAATAATTTATAGTTTTTTCGGCGTTCGATCTATCAAACGCGAGCATCAACACGCGTGATAACTAATTACGGAAAGGGTTACTGCTCGAGAGATAGAGAGAGTACAGAACAAATTTCGCGCTGCAGGTTCGTAACGACGTTAAAAGCTTGGGCGAATAAAGCAGCGCGCGAGTTCGCGAGGCAAGTGATGAATAAACGGCTCGCGGCAGCTGCCTTCGCCTCGTGCTATTCACTTTAATACACACGCGCGCGCGCGCGCGCAAGATATAGAAAGCTCATATTCGAGAGCGCGACAGCCCGGCGATGTATGCGTATATATAAGATGCTTGGACGAGACGACACGTGCGAGCAGTCGTGATACACACACGCACAAACACGTATTTTGCGCAGCCAGAAAATGTCGACGACCTTATCTCTTTCGCTCACTGTCTCTGCTGCTTTGCCGCACGCGGAGAGACTCTCGGCGATTCTCGCGAATCATTAAGCATTATTGTACGATATACGCGCGCACGCGCGTCCATCCTATATTCTGCTCCAGGTTGTACGATATTATAAGTAGTCAATGCGCCCGCGCGTGCGAATGTGTGTTGATAGCTGTATACATGTATATATGTGGCACAATTATAGGGTAAACCGTCGATTTATTGACCGAATTGTTGTTATTCAATATTTGAATATCTAGGAAAATTTAATGATTGCAACTAAAAGAAAATTAAATAGTTCATCGCATAGCATTACATGTTCAATCAATTAAAAGTATTGAAAAATTATTTAAGCATTATTAATGTTATTAAAAATGATGATTTAACGAGGTACATCAAAAGTGCTCATCATTGACCATTTCTAAAAAATATCTCCAATAATTGACCGGGCTTCGTCCAATAAATGACCGGTATGACATCTTATAAGGTTTTATCAAAATTAAACACTTTCCTTTGTTTGTATAATCAAATTTAATCTTAAATCATTGTTATAACATTCAGTGCTGGTCGAATCAGTACTGTTTAAATAAGTTTTATGCAAAAATCAGTACCATTAGATTTACATTTATGTATAGCGAACCTAACCTGTATACTATTGTAAGCTCAAAGAAGTGGTTAATAATTGGTCGTGTGTATCAATCAACGTTTCGTCCAATTATTGACCGCAAAAAAATTTCAATATTTTTTAATTTATAGTTAATATAATTGATATGGGTTGAAAGTTAATTAAAAACATAGGTATAACATTATTTAAAGTGGGGAAATTATCATAAATAAGATTAAAATTCGTGTATTCAACTTATAAGTAAGTATTGATCAAGCGGTCAATTATTGGACTGTGTTCAGAATATAGGCGGTTTACCCTATATGCGCGAACGAAGTTTTTTTTAAAGCGCTCGAAAGTCGACTCGTCGGCTATGTATTTTTAATCGTCGATATATACGTATACACATTCGAGCGTAAGCGATCGCATATTTATAATGAATAATTTAATCAAGTCCGGTAGAAGCGAAGACGCTAACAAATCGGCCTACTTTGATTTGCTAAAAATACAACTGACTAGCGAAAATGCAGAGAGTATTTAAAGAGGCCGTAATTACAGTACTGGTGCTGGTCATGGTTTCGTTCGTAACAAAAGTTAATTAATAAAAACCATGCAAACTTGTTCATTTGGATCCTACGAATAAAAACGTATATTTCCGTCGAGTAAGAGAGTATTGCAATTAATTTAAAATAATTTTTTTTATACAAATTGTTCAAAGTAAATAAGATAATTCATAATTAAAATGGTTCTTTCACATTTTTCGCCAAGATTTATAGATTTAGAAATATTCAATATTTCAGGTTTTAAAACCTCTATCATTGTTAAAATTGGTCAATGACGAGATTATAAAAAAAAATATTAAATATCTGGAAATCTATTAACTTGAAGGATAAATGTCAAGGGACCTTTTTTAGGAATCGTCTAATTTACTTCACAAGAATCTTGACGGGTCGAATAACGTTCATTTTAATAATTGGTTTAAAAAATGATTATGGACAAGTGAGAGCTACATCTAAGCATTAAGAGATTCAAAATTTACACGTTTTCCATCCATTAATTTTTAGTTTTAGACAAAATAATAGCCAACTCTATGACTGTAAGTCATACCAAACCCGTGTGATTTGACAAAGAATTTTATTGATGCATCGAAAAATCAAGAATTTTTTTTTACGGACCCGAGCTTTTATCGCGTGCACAAGTCGTACGCGAAATTATTGAAAACGAAAATCGTCTACCAAACGTCAAAGCACGTAACGACGCAAGAATATGCACTGAAACGTTTCAGTACAATAGTATGGTTTTTAACTGTTCAAATTTGCAAAGATAACAAGTTCATGAGTAGACTGCAAGTGCTTCAAAGATATGCTTGACATTGAAAATCGTATAATGGTTCTAAAAAGGCGCGATGTTTGAACGATCTACGTGTCATGCCTTTTTTTTCATCTGTTATTTTTCTCGCTCGCGTGTACAGTTCGAGCGTGAGATAGGCTGCGTGTTTGTGTTTCAAGCACATGGGCGTGATCTCTCTCCTCTTACTATTCACTGTTGACATTATTTTGGATCGGTTTTGTTATAATTTTTATCGGGTTGTCATCAGCGCTTTGTAGTTACCGGAACACGTGATCGATTACGCGAGATGTGAGTAATACACAAGTACTGTCAATGAAATTATGTTGCAAAGATTTTACATGCCACAAGCGTTATTATCAATGATTTACAATGGTGAAAAAATGTTTTTCAAAAGAGTCAATCAAACCATGACTGCTGCCAAGTGATCATTCCAGTGGTTAAGCCAAATGGTCATTTACTTTCTTTGTTTTGAACATCACTTTCACATGTTTACTGAAACATTGCACCATCACTTGACACCACTTTTGTATTCATTTCGTGAAGCATGAATTTCTTTCACACTGCAATACATTTGACACTTTTTTTTTAATTGAAGGATGAATTTTTCCAGAACTGCACTGCATCAATTTTTATTGATTATGTGAAAAATAATTTCTTTCACCACTGCACTGAATCAACTTTTATTGATTGGGTGAAGTATGAATTACTTCAGCACTGTAATACATTCCACTATTTTTTTTTATTTCTTTTTATGAAGGGTGAACTTTTTTAGCACTGCACTACACTATTTTTGATTGATTGTATGAAAAATGATTTTCAAAACACTACACTTCAACACTTCCTTTAAAAAATAAATTTCTTTGGCTTTTCATACAACTATACATTATCTTTTATTTTTAAAATGTTTCAATAAATTAAAAACAAATTTCTTCCACTGGAAATTATTTAGTTGTCAATACTGTTTGCAGTTTAAGCTATTGGATTATGAACCTGAAGTTTTCTTCGTCGAACTTCGACGAAAAGTTCCAAAAAATTGTTTTTTTATTTAAATGTTATATTCATAATCTACTGTCATATTTGTTTACAATTAACCCTCCAAACTATAAATATGACGATAGATCACGATTATAAAATTTAAAGAAAAAACAATTTTTTGAAACTTTTCGTCAAAGTTCCGAAAAAATCCAGGACCCGAAGAAGCCGACAAAGTGATCGACGAAACGTCGACCAGGTGACGAGGTAGTGTGTGATTACACACTCTCACCCACCGCCTGTTTTTAATAAATTTGACTTTGGCACCGCCTTTATCGCCGTTTTATTTATATTGACATAAATTAATCGTGGTTTCGTGAAATAAAGCACAGACCTCAAGGGCCCACTTCTCCTTTATGCTTTTTCACGCATTTGAATCCCATATAAAAAATGATGAAATGAATGGGATGAATGCCGAGACGTGTCAATGTTTAACTACAACACGAAAATAATGGAAAAGTAATGGTGAAAAGGTGCATGTGATAATAGGAATGAAACTTTGAGCACTATGTGGGGGTTCAAGGAAACTTTTATAAAGCTGAGAAAAATATTTATAAAGTTGTTCCTAAGATATTCAAACTCATTATTCAGAATTTATTAAGCGAAATAAAAACAAAATTGCATTAATAAACTCATCAAATCTGCCTGTACCCCGTACTTTCCATATGTCTCCCGGCAAGTACTTACGATACTTCATTTGCAAAAAATTCTTCAATAAATAATTTGTTGGGATAGTGAGTGGTGAAAAATGTCCGACCAGAGCGGTACAGGGGCTCGACAACTACTAAAAAATTAAGCCATACGGATATGCTAAGGCCAAAGCCATAACACGTGGTGCAAGCTATGGGGTTAGTTCTTACTCTTTCATCATTATCGTTACCGATTAATCATTGATTACGTTTCATTTTTCAAGATCAGGCTAGTGATCGAGTAAGGACTAATAATTAATAGAATAAATAAACTTTAATGTAAAATTAAAATTTAAAATTCCAAAATCCTAACAGGCACGACCCCGATACTCACCACGTGTACGTGATGAGAGAAGTGCTCGCATCGAGCACATGGCATGGGGGTTATAATTTCATAGAATATAAATAATTCACTCCATTGAGAAAAAAAGTTGATATTAATCAATAGAACGAGTACTATAAAAAAGGATAAGAGATATTAAGAATTTTTTTGGAAATTGCATCATACAGGAAAGGCCAATAATAACGGTAATTTGTACTGGTTTTCAAAAAAAATTTGAAGAAAATGTTCATACACCTTATCGCAACCACCAGGATTACTTATTTAACATCCAGACTTGATGTGTTATTTGGAGGGTGAAAAAAATATCGACTTCGCAACCTCGTGCCGAGTGCGAATAACCTCAAATCAGTACCTGCATGCTGTCGGCGGATATTATCTCTCCGTTGAACCTTTTTGCGAGCTGGATACCCAGTTTGGACTTTCCCGTCCCCGTAGCACCGAGTATCACTAACACTGGCAATCTCGCCATTATTTATCACTCACAAAACACTTTTTAACTTAACAATATTACACACACTGCACTCCACAGCACGCACAACTATATACGCTTTGCCTTCTTCTGCTAGTCTCCGCTCCACGGCTGACGGGCTGACGACGGTTTTTGCTGCTGCTGTGCGCGCATGCGCTGTGAAGCTGCCTAGCTACTTTCTCTCGAGCCAGTTCAGAGTTTCAGACGTAGTTAAGCACATCACATGGGCATTCTCGCACATTCGATCGAGATGCCTACATTCTCATACATCACGTATACAGAACCGACGAATTCAATCATAGCTTCGATGCTTGGGAGCTTTCGGGCTCGATCGTCTATGATATTGGCGATGAAGGCAGAAAACGCATTGATACGTATTTTCACCAATCTAATGCAAATTTTTGACTTGCATATTTTCGATGCCTTTTACCAAAACAAATTTGTTTTGTTTTATTTTACAAGATATGACAAAAATTTCCTCTGTTTATTCGTATTGATTTAAAAATTAAAAAAAATTAATAATAACTATTTGTTATTGACCGATCTACGACAAAAGTACTTTGTCAGTCCTAGGTCTTCGCGACGGTATTCGCTAGCGCTATATTTCCTCCTGATCTACGCGTAAGTAATTATGAAAATGCTTCTGCTTAAATTTTTCGAAAAAAGTAAACTCTGAATTTGATTTGAAATCCCCATATACAGAGGGCAAGAACTCGTTTAAACGAAAGAAATACCCCATCAGCAAAATGTGAAGGTGTTGGAAGCTTGGGTGCGGATACATAATGAGGGATTATCCGCATGGAAGAAACTTGTATATTGCTTTCACCATAACTTTGGCTCAAGTTACTTTGAGCTTGAAACTTTAACTTTGGTATTTGCGTTGGAAGATCTCTGTAAGTGTATTTATCAAAGAATACCCTCAAATTTGTTCAACATTTTTAGAGCTAATTTTTCAATTTCCGGAAAATACGGGAGATCCAATTTCCTGAATTTACCTGAAAATACTGAAATAAAAATTAGAGGATGTCCCATTGTTATGACATTGTTGTTTTGCCACTTATGATATTTTATCATATGTGTTTAAATTTTTTGTAAGCATATTAGGAAAAATCGTGATTTTTGCGTCAATAAATTTTGACATGACTAAGCTACCATCATGTTCTCTCTATAATGAGACTCGTATTTTATATGTACATGCGTTATAATAAAAAGACTTTTTCAAGAGAGCTTCGGGCTCAGAAAAAAAATTGAGAGCTAAATTTGAAATATGAGTTTGACTGTTCAAGGGAGAATTCGTATTCTAAATGTTTCATTTTGTACACGAAACTCCAAATAGCCCTCGAGATCTGTAGAAAAGTATGATTTTTGAACCCAAAACTCGAAAATCTCTAGGATTTTGTGTACGAATTTGCTTCGTTTTATCCAGCTATTTGAAATTCAATTTTAGGATAGATTAAATAAAAATGTTCAAATCTTTACGGTTTTGTTTTTTTTATTAATAAAATAGTATTTATATTATAAAAATACAAACAGGTACTATAGTATATTTATTTACAAAAAATTTCAAAATGTCCTAAAACATTTATGCTTCATTCATCTCTTATAGTATTTGGCAAAATTCTAAATGACATAGAGTTTGTTTGAGAAAATTTTTTTCGTATTATATTTTCTCATAAAAATCGGTATCTATTTATTATTTTTACACTACTTATATTTGCATTATTAACAATGCGAGGTACTGTTTCCTTAAAGCACTTGTAGACTTATATGTCCGAATAAATTTTATGTAAACATGCGTAATCTTTTACGCACGTAAAAATTTAGTTAGATACATGATATTTATTTAACTACAGCACCATCATTCATTTCATATTATTACAATTGACTGTTTCAGGATTCTCCGATTCATTTATTACTTACAGTCTATTGAAATCATTAAAATCAATATAAGAATAATGCTCCATTTACTACAGTACACTATATAGTTTTTGGATAAAGCATTTTTCTGAACTTTACAGTTCAAAGTATTTCAATTAATTTACTTATTGAAAGTAGAACTTAATACCTATAACATGATACTTGAATTTTAAAAATTTCAAAATAACTCATAACATTAGTATTTAAAAAACTTAAAACAAACTCTTGTCAAATTTCGTTCAAATCAATAAAATAACGATGCAAGATTTAAAAAGTCATACATTAATGAGTTAATTTATTAAAATTTGAATTATTTAATTGATGTCTACTTAATTTCTGAGAAAAAAATACGTTAACGTTGCGCATTTAATACTTGAAATAAAAAATAATTGTCAAAAATTTCTATTTAAATCTAAAAATGTTACATACATACACACTATTTAGATGAAAGACTTTCACGACGTTCTTTTGTACCTGTCAACTTGCAAAGCTTTTTTAATTTTGAAAGTTCTAAGTTTCCATATCCTTTTTGCCCCAACGTAAGGACAACTTTTTTATAGAAGTAAGTAGAAGTCATGCTTAGCGTATTTTTGAGTCCTCTTAGAATATCGTGAATGGAAGACTTTTGCTTGTACCGCTCGGGACACATTAGTTTGACGATCTCGAAGCCCATCTTTTGCTCCAAACGTCGCTTACGTTCCATTGCGTTATGTCTCAATCGATTTCGATGACTTTCTCGGTATTTAAGACTATCTACCTCTTCTTCATCATTCGGTTTACACTCCCGCTTTACCGGTAGAGGAGGTTTTGCTATTTGACCCTTGAGGATAATTTCTTTAACTTTATCTGATATATTATCGGGGTGTATGTTATGCAAAACATAACCTGATAACAAGGGTGACGAAATTTTGAATTTTTCGATAAAGAAAAGAATAAATCCTTGGTTAGCGGAAAATCTTTGCTTAACCTCATGGATGATTTTAGACTCGTTGACAAGTTTGAGTGGATCGGGAAATTTCGGCTTTTCCTCTCGCATAACTCCGTTGTTGGCGAGGATCTCTTCCAATCGAGCTTCATTGATATTTTCATTGTTTGACGACGATGTGACTGTCTGACAACGAATGTTTTCCAAATACTCCTCTCGATTATTTTGTATTTTTACCCATTCATTCCACGTATTTTTAACATCCTGGGTCGTAACTCCAGGGAGAAACGAAAATCTGGCCATTCGCCGATGTATGATTTTGTTTCTTGTCAAAAGTTGTTGTAGCGCCATGATGATTCTTTCTCTTCTAGAGTTGTTTGCTGCTTTATTGTACTTTTCTTGAATCGGAGGTTTTTTGAAATTACGTTTTCGTCCCTTTCGTCTTTCTGCATTTTCTACTTGGTCATCGCATGAGTATCCTGGGCGTATAATGACTTTTTCATTTTCCTCGATGAGAGGCGCGACACTCAGTAACTCCTTCTGACAGATAGATGCAGGTTCTTTTGGGGCCTTTTTAGTTGGTAAACGAAGTTTCACTGCAACAAAAAATGCGAAACATTTTTCATTTCTATTCGATTGCAAAATATATCAAAATTGTATGGAAAGTCAGATCAATTGAATAAATAATATTCAATACAATCTAACAAGAGTTCTTATTGAAGACAAAGGGTATATTTCCATTTGCGATCAAGAATATACTCTCAGGCTTTATTTACAATGAAACCGAAATTAGAAAGGGTTCTCGAATTGGGTTCTTAAATTATTCGGTTCTTTTTGAAGTACATTTTATCATTGCGATGGGAAGTGCAGTCCTTGGGATATCATGAAAACATACAAATTTCGAAAATTATTATAGATAAATAGACAGAGAGAGAGAGAGAGAGAGAGAGAGAGAGAGAGAGAGAGAGAGAGAGAGAGAGAGTGAGAGAAAAAACTCAATTAGAGAGTCGCTAGTGATGTTTTTATGTTTTACAACATCGTAAGTGTTGGATGTGCGGTTGAAAGTTAGTGCACAAGGCGAGAGAAGAAAAAGATCGGTTCACTTTCGTCACCACAAGCACGAAATTGAACCGCAGGAGTACACCGATATCATTGAGAGAGTGAAATCGTTGCAACATATCAGCCCAGATAAGGAGTAACGATCCGTAGCGGGTGCATTAAAAGATATATACTCTCGAGAATCACGAGGGTGTAACAATTAACGAAAAAAAAAAAAAAATATGTAATCGAAACTTTTCGGATACTGGCATTTTGCAAAGGTATATCTTACAGGCACGATCTTGTATACCTAGTTCTAAAAGTGGACGCAGGCTGACCTGTTTTTGCGGGAATAGTTCGGGGCGAGCTTGAATGACAGTCAAGGAACGTAAACGAGCCTTAAAAGGAGACGGTACACTAGCCGAAGGTATCGAGGGCGAATTCGCCGAATTCGAGCGCCAGGTAGTCGCGATTACTCGCGAGTTTACCAGTAACATCTACCCAAAAGCGCATCATTAGCCCGTTCGGTGTCTGTGCTAGTTAAAATTGAAATTGACTATCAAGTACCGACGTTGGAAGAAAAGGAAGAAAACGAAACTCGCTTTGCAACGTATGTACGCCAACTTATCTCTCTGTATGCCGTGGGTATAACTGAAAAATCCAGTCGCTCGTGTCTCGTTCGCTCTTTCACCCGTATTGAAAGCAATAGAAGGTTCTTTTCTTTCCAAAACTCGCGACAGAGACATGGACCGAGAGTGAGTAAAAGAGCGAACGAGAGAGAGAGAGAGAGAAAGATAGAGAGAGAGAGAAGGAAAAAAAGAGCACGCATAGGGTCGAAACTAAAAATGAAAAGAAATAGAATCGAGAAAGAACTAAGGGGCTTAGAAAAGAGAGTTAGAGCGAGATAGAGAGAAGGAGATCTCCCCAGCTCGCCTTTCTTCAATTGCATAAAATCGTGTTTGCTGTTACTGTTCCTGCGCGACGCAGACAAAAATTCGTTACACGTTCTTGCATGGCTCGCGCACACAGGCACAGCCTGTCTTCCGTTCTCTCTCTTTCTCTCTCGCACGCATGCACGCACGTTCTGACGAGTAGAAAAATCCTGGAAGATACGAAGGACTTCGAAGAATACAATGTATCGTGCCGAGAGATTTAGTGGGTGAAAATTTTTGTTTTCAAAATTCAGTAAAAAAAAAAAAAATCGCATTGTCGGTCTTTGCTGGAAAAGAGCTTGGCGATGCGTGAATTCGAGGCCTTCAAATTATTTACTCTACGTCGACGAATACCTTTGCGCGATGTCGAAGAACAGTCAAAAGTACGATCCTGACTCCCGGCGAGTCGTGGAGAGCAAATTTTTCCTAAACAGCACAGAGGGCACGGAAAAACCTGCGAGGGTGTGAAATATACGAAAGAGGTGCGCGCTCTCGTCTTCTCGTGGACACGACACGATCGTTGACAAAACGAACATTTGAAGGCCGAAAGCGAAGAGAAGGATCGGGCGCGCTCGATGACGTAATTCGTTCACGCGCCGGATCCGCGGAAACACTCTGTATCCATCCTCGTGGGAGTGCACGAAAAGAAGCGGTAATAAGTCCATTGAACCGATCGCCCGGACGACACATGGCATTAATATTGTTTTTTTTTTTCTTTTTTTTCATCCCAGACAAGTTGAAGCGCAGAACGAATAGAGTCAATGGGAAAGTAGGCACTCGTCAAAGCACGAATACAGTAAGGTAGAGATAATCATTATTGCGAATGTGAACTTGAATTTTGTGGCGCGCATGCAAGTTGACGACTAATAAATGAAAATGGGTTTCGCTTTTGGCTCTTTTCTCGGGTACATCATTGGAGCTAGGCATTATTTCTTGAAGTGAATTTTTCGGTAAAATTCGATTATTTATTCATGTATTTATTACTTTTATTTATGCAGGCAATTGTAAACTTTCCTACTTCTACACAACGCGTAACGCAGTTTCCAACGATGAACAGGAAAAAAAACTAACTTTTTGCTCGCAATAGCGCAAGGAGTATAATAACTGCATAGGAGAATAATTTTTTGTTTCGCTTTTTTTTTCTACGTAAATTTGTGTGCGTGCGCGAGTGTGTGTGTGTGTATGTGTATGCGAGCATGTATTTTTCTGTTATGTTGTTGCACGATCAAACTCGGTGTGCACAAGCGCGGCATTAACGCTCAAACACGTATATATCTCAATATGTAAGTGTTGAAAATGACAGAAAAATTATAGATAATGTGCGTCGATGCTCATGTGTGCTTTACGCGCGTACATTTTCAAGGCGCGCTCGCTCGCGCATTTATCTTGAAAAGCGCGAAATGCTAGAGCAGGAAAGCCCGATAACGTGTAGTCGGAAAATTGCTAATGTATATATGCGTGCGCGCGCGCGTGCAAGTATGTGTGAGTGCAGACCACAAATGCCTCCTAGAGGCTTTCTTGTATATGCGCGTATACTTTTATGGATATTTTGTGCGACTATGTGCTACGTGAAAATCATCATATAATTACATTCATCGGAATTGAACAAAAAGGTACATATAAAAAAGTTGGAAAATCGGAGGGAAAATTCGAAAACCGGAAGTAAAATACAAAAATTTTATAGGGGCCAAGGCCGAGGAATGATTTCGCAAACATAACGTGTATGCACATGTACATGAAAATACGTGTATGAAAATTACAAAAAAAGTTCAAAAGTACTCACGCTTTTTCCCCGTAGTTCTCGCATTAGTTTTCCTCTTGGGATGTTGCGCCGTGATCGTATTGGCCGAGTAAAGGTGATCTACAGGGGGTTGAGTTGTCTCAACTTGTTTCCTTTGTCTCTTGGGCTGGGGTAGCTTGTCAGATGCATCTGATGTCGATCTTCTCTTTCTAACGACTGGAGCGTATATTCGAACCGATGGGATCGGGGCAGGTACGAAATCCTCAATGTCATTGGAAGGAGGCGAGTTCGAGCTCTCGCTGCTAGGGGTAGGGGTCGTTCCTGCGCTACCCAACTCTTTATAGAGTGTCAATTCCCTCAATTTTGGATATCCAAACTCCACCTGACTCTGGAAGTTGTTGCTCTGTTGACGCTTGCGACTTGTAACGCGGCTCTCTTTTGTTGTTTTTCTAGTCTCTTGTGACGCCACTTTATTCTTTCGTGGTCGCCCTGGGCCTCGCTTTTTGCCAACCTCGGGCTCTACTTTTTGCGCTACTTTTTGCGCTACTTTTGGTGCTACTTTCTGTGATACTTTTTGTGGCGCTGGTGAGGATGGCTGATCGGCAGGTATTCTTGCCGGATTCTCCAGTAGACTATATGGAGATTCCTCCACAGAGAATGAATCCATAAACGACTGCGCGAACGCATTTTCCGGTGTTGTATCACCGGCAAGATAATTCATAAAATCAAGATCCAGTGTTGTGTCACTCAAAATACCTGGAAGAGGTACTGGGACTTCATTATCGAACCATGAACTTGTAAGCGTCGGCCCTTTATCAGAGTGATCGCTATGATTTGAAGTACTTTGAGGGCTAATTGAATTGGCCGGTGGTAAGTTTGGTTCCGAATCAATTGGACTCGTATTATTCAAATTAGCTTCGAACGAGTTAGGATTAGATGCGAATGTTGGCAATCCGAGATCCGGTAATTGATCGATGTAAGCACTAGAAAAGTGAAAATAATACATACTTATTAGGATAAAAAATCAATTAAAATGAGAAAAAAGTCAATTAGATATCATTTTATTCGCGGCGTTAAATCTGGCTAGAGTTTTCTTAAACATATTCAGTTACGTTAATAATAATCGTAGGTAAGATTAATTCAGATGCTTCATGGCGTGTCGCGTCATTGGAGATGAAAAAAAAAGTATGAAAGTTTTGAATGATCACAGATGCTCGCGATATATAAAATAAAAAAAACACAGAAAATATCATGCGCAAGAGCAGAAAAATATGAAAATGTCATGTTATTTCTACGCTCGTATGATGTTTGAGGCATGGAAAACCGCTGATCCGTTATTTGCGCTGAAACGTGTTTAATTTACTCGAACGCAAATGCTTTAAATTTGTCTATTGCGATATTTCATATTTTATTAATAATTTTACAGAGGTAACGCACAGGGTGCAATTTCATGCACCCTAGAGACGCGTAACGAGAATAGGACCGGGACCGGCTATTTTGTAAAAAATTCAAACTTACAGAACATTTTTACACTTGTTCAAAGTTGCTAAGACTTACACATTTGAAATTTATTTACACACATCTAAATTATACACGAATAAGTTTTACACGAGTGTAAATAGTTTTTACATTCGTGTAAAATTTATTATCAAGTGTACATAATTCTTACACTCGTGTAAAATTTATTATCGAGTGTAAATAATTTTTACACTTGTGTAAAATTGATCGAAGAGTGCAAATAATTTTACCACTCATGTACTTTTTTACATATGTAAATAATTTTTACATAAGTGTAAAAATCATGAATAATTTTTACACTCGGGAAGATGGTTTTTACATTCCTGTAAAAATTATTTACACTTGTGTAAAACTTATTCGTGTATAATTTAGCTGTGTGTAAATAAATTTCAAATGTGTAAGTCTTAGCTGTGCAACTTTGACCAAGTGTAAAAATGTTCTGTAAGTTTGAATTTTGTTCAAAATAGCCGGTCCCGAGGTAAGAAAAAAAACCCGTTGAAGCAAATATTTGATATTTTGTTAAATATTTCCGAAACAGATACGTTAAACACTAATTCCTCTAAACGTTTGTAATGTTGGTTCTTTTTAAAATATTTAAATCAAAAAAGTAGCTTACGTTGATTCGAATCCTAAGCTTAACATTGGATTGTCGTATGACACGTAATTGTCGTTTGGTTCATCGAATAGGCCGCCAAGCAAACCCATATCATCGTTGTACATCTCTGAGAAAGCCATAATTATATTAAACCTTTTAGGCTGCTAATATAAAAGGCACGAAAATTGCACTTGCACAAATTCACAACGAAACAACTTAACTACAAAGTTTCGATTTTTTCGTCAGCACTGATTAAAAAGAAGGCAGTACTCGTATGAAATGCACAAAATTGTTTAAGCTGTATCGAAGAACTAACTATATGTTCCAATGCACAACTAAACATTATCTTCTTGAGGGAGCAAGAAAAAAAGAGAAGCAATCGCTTGTGGAAATTGAACACGAGCACAAGTGCAGCCGAAGCAAACTATTTAGTAGCAATTCGAGATTAACTTTCAAAGTTGAAAAAACTAATTTCACGCCGGCAGCTTCTCTCTCGAGTTGTACTGAACTCTGTGAGTCGTCTAGCAGTACTGATGCTTCACTGCCTCACCGGCCGGCTCTTTTCAAGCCCACACGTTCAGACTTCCCCCTCTAACTTTTTTTACCCCGCCGTCGCCACATTGTCTATCTCTTTCCCACTCGTATACTTCGTAGGAGAGAGAGAGCGGCTGTTATTCTTTGAGATACTATCCCCACTTCCTACCTCCCTCCTTGACTTAGCATGTGTTCGAGACGTCAAATATTCGTGAACGTCAGTAATCGTGATACAGAAATCAACGATGTTTTAAAACTAAATATATTGTTTTATCAATTTTAAACACAGTTTACAATATATACTTAGTTACGGTACTCATTTTAGAAATTGTATAGAATTTACTTAAATCCAATCGAATATAGTTAAATTAATATAGTTTAATTCCAATAAAAACATTTATTTTCAAATATTACATGAAAAAGAAGATAACTGTAATATTTTTAAAATTTTAAAGCCGGCTTTGATATTTCAGATCTGAATTTAAATGTAAATTTAGCTATTACGTAGGGTAAATGTGGGTATTTCTGCGGGTCCACCTATTACTGCGGGAGAAGAATAAACTAATATTATGATTTTCTAAATGCATATGAGTGTAACTTAACTATATCAGTATTTAAAGTAAGTTTTTCTCATCCTATGAGTTGAAAATTAATAGATAACAATGAAGTTAATCATTGTTAAAGCATTCTTAAAATGTGATTCTTGAAATCAAGCAAAAAAAGTTGAAAATTTTTGTGTTGAGACACATTTTGTTGTAGTTGATTTAATTATATGTATCGACTTGGAAAGAAAAGTGACAATTTTATCAGTAAGCATAAGTGATGCAGAAAGTATTCAATTAACTTATATATCGATTTAAAATTGTTTTCTATTTTTTTCATTGATACAATGTTAGGTACATCATTTTATTGAAATGAATATATTACTGCGGTAGCACTGCGTATATTACTGCGGTTACATAACCAAATAATCATAGATTTATGACTTCGCAGTTTGCTAATTTCAACGTTTATTTGATAAACTTACAGTAAAAGCATCATGGGCAAATTAAAAAAAAAATTGTACCATATAATAACAAAACCGAAGTGAATCTAGAAAAAATTACCCTCAAGATAATGTTAATCTTGCTGTCGAAGCCGTCATAAAAGGTAGTACCATTGCCAAAGCTTAACGGACTTTCAAGGTACCTGAATCAACAATCCGAGCTCGAAAACCAGGAAAATATGAAAGAGACAGATCAGGACATTCAACAGTTTTTTTTACAAAAACTGAAGAGGATGAGATAGTGGACTTGATTCTAACTCGATGCGAAAAAGGGCATCCCATAACTAAAAAGCAGCTGCTTGATTGTGTTGAAGTTTTATGTCTCCGAATAAAGACGAAAAATCCTTTCAAAAACCATTTAAGAAACATTTTTTTACCTAATGAGTTGAAAATAATTTTAATACTATCAAAATCTTGCATTTCAAGCTAAAAAAAAACACCGTAATACATGCGCAGTATTAGGTCATCCGCAGTGATAGGTGCACAGTAATGCATGCATGTACCGCAGTAATACATGCATCCATTTTTATTTTAAAAGTACTGTTTAATAATATTAAATTGAAATTAAACAATTTTTAATATTTGAATTGTTTATAGCCAAGATCCTGAACAATAACGTAAAAAAAATTATTAGGCAAATCTTTTCACAACGTTTAATATCGAAAATTGGAAAACAACCTAAAAAAACCACCATAACACCCACATTTACCCTAGGCGTCGTGATTTTTTTCGCTCCACTTCAACGAGCACCATCGTTTTCTTTCTCTCTCTCTCTCTCTAATTCTCAACGTACAATCGGAGGAGTATAAGAGAGCAAGTGGCCCCCTGAAGAAGAGAAGCGCAGAAAAGAATTTCGGGCTTATTATTGTGTAACATACGTCCATGTGCGTTTGTGCACGAGGCAGCACAAAAGAAAAATAAGGGGTCGTCTCAGCCAGTTCTTCTGTCTCGCTTATACTTGTTTTAAAGGTATAGGAAGTTACGCGAATGCGAGAGTAAATCGTGTTTTTGTATCGCGCGACCAAAGAAAGAGAGCGAGAGAAAAGAATAAGAGTTCTTCAAGATCGCGGAGCTTCTTCGCACGCATCTGCTTGTCTGCTTTGCAAAACATGCGCGCCTTGCAGCTTTCCACCTATATACACACACATACACAGACACACATATATATACGGGTCAAAATAATACTTTTTTAAATTTTCGTCCGCACGTATGTCACCGATCTTGACGCGCTTTTGGTATGTTATAATACAAGATAAAATAGATCCAAACCCAAAATTTGGGACCCCCTCCCCCCTACCACCCTCCTCCCCTATAAACGTTCATTTTTCATCTATATTTCTTCTGAACGCTTGAAGCAATTGAAAAATCTGAAAAAATTCACAAAAATATTTTTCAACAATCCAAACAACCTTGAATTTTTTCAGATTTTTTGAGTGCTTGAGGCCTCCAGAAAAAATCATTGAAAATTTTGAAAATTCATATAAGGCGTTAGAATGCAATAACTTTTTCGAAAATTTTTTCACTTTATTTCATTAAAAAAAGTAACCTCAAAATTTTTCAAATTTTTTCAGACATTTGAATGCACCTTTTGAAGCTAAAAACCGCTTTTTTCGACGAAAATAATTTTTTTAGGATGATAAAAAATGGTTCCTAGAACCCGATGGTTCCGGTGAAAAAATCTGGAAATATTTTTTTTGAATTCCTTGTCAAATTTTCATAAATTTTGACCATTTTAAGTTTCCGATTGAAGCTTCCTAGCTCAATCTAGAGCATCAAAATAGTTTTATCATTTCTTCATGTGTCGTCAGAAACGTCTTCAGAATTTTGCATTTATATTTGTCCTGTCTAGATTGAGCTATGAGGCTTCAATCGGAATGTAGAAACGGTAAAACTTTATTAAAATTTGTCAAGGAATTCAAAAAAAATATTTCCAAATTTTTTTACCAGAACCATCGGGTTCTAGGAACTTTTTCTGTTAAAAATAGCATTTTTCGGACTTGGAAGCTATCGCCTTCAATTAAAAAATCTGAAAAAACTTGAGGTCATGTATTTTGATAATGAAGAGAATAAAAAAATTATTTCAGATTTTTCAAGGCTCCGTATCGTCCTAAAAAAATTATTTTCTTTAAAAAAAGCGGTTTTGGCTTCAAAAGGTGCGTTCAAATGTCTGAAAAAATTGATAAAAAAGTGAAAAATTTTTCGAAAAAGTTATTACATTCTAACGCCTTACATGAATTTTCAAAATTTTCAATGATTTTTTCTGAAGACCTGAAGTACTCCAAAAATCTGAAAAAATTCAAGGTTGTTTGGATTATTGAAAAGTATTTTTGTGAATTTTTTCAGACTTTTTAATTGCTTCAAGCCTTCAGAAAAAATATAGATAGAAAATGGACGTTTATAGGGGAGGAGGGGGGTAGGAGGGGGGAGGGGGTCTAAAAATTTTTTTTTGGGACCTTTTTACCATGTACTATAACATACCAAAAGCGTGTCAAGATCGGTGACATACGTGCGGACGAAAATTTAAAAAAGTATGACCCATATATGAGCAATTCTCTAAATGAAACGCATTTTTGGAGGTAGAATCGCGGCAAATTTTTTTTTCAACCTACGCGAATACGGACCCCCGGGAAATGTTTCTGGGGGTCCTAGGAACATGTAACCACGTAGGAACCATTGAAATTTCAATAGTGCTTACTTTTATAGCTACTTTTGTGATTTAGAGGACGAAAAATCATGTTTTCTCGTAAATGCGGCTAGTTACTCAATTTGTAAGTAACTGAAAAAGTGTGTAAACTCATTTAAAAATAATAACTGGCTACTGTGTTCGATAGGAAATTTTCTCAGCTTTTCAATGGTGGTATCAGATTTTTCGATAAGTCGCACATTCACCGAATAAATTGCCATCATACATGCCAAGCTAAATATCTCGAAAAACTCGGTACGGAATAAGTGATCTTTGAGGTTTACTTTTGATTTTTCCTTGTGAAAATGAAATATATCGGAAAATCTGACTGCACCATGAGAAAGCTGAGGAAGTTTTCTATCGAAATCATATATTCATTTATTTTTTCAGTGGAATCACGAGCTAGTTTTGATTGTAGCGAGCCGAAAACCTCGCGACCGCGCTGAATACAGCTCGGAAATAGAAAACAGCGAACAAAGTAAAAGAACCTCCCTTGTATAACATTGTAATGCGACTCAAACAATAAATGAAGATATGCTTTCGATGGAAAATTTCCTCAGCTTTCCGATGGCAATATCAGATTTTCCGAAATATTCAATTTTCATGAGAAAAATCCACAAATAAACCAAAAAATTCACTTATTCCGTAACGAGTTTTTCGAGATATTTAGCTTGGCATGCTTGATGGCGATTTTCTCGATAAATGTGCGACTTATCGGAAAATCTGATACCACCATTGGAAAGCTGAGAAAATTTCCTATCGAACACAGTAGCCAGTTATTTTTTTTAGATGAGTTTTGATACTTTTTCGGCGAGTTAGAAATTGAGTAATTAGCCCTATTTACGAGAAAACATGATTTTTCGTCCTCTAAATCACAAAAGTAGCTATAAAAGTAAGCACTATTGAAATTTCAATGGTTCCTCCTACGTGGTTACATGTTCCTAGGACCCCCAAAAACATTTCCCGGGGGTCCGTATCCGCGTAGGTTGAAAAAAAAATTTGCCGCGATTCTACCTCCAAAAATGCGTTTCATTTAGAGAATTGCTCATATACCTTCTACTCTCACATTTGCAGCTGGCACGCGCCGCTAAATACGCGGACCAAAGATTTTTTTCATCTTTCTCTCCCTCTCTATCCCTACGTGAGCGACCACTATGAGAATTCTATAATATATACCCACGATTTTACACACGTAGTACGCTATACACCACCGGTGAATGAATATACGCATTTTGCTGTACAAAATAGCATCTTC